TTATTAATGAAAAAATTTCCGTTGAATTTTGGAGTCCTTGTTTTTATTCTTGTGGTATCGAAAATGACATCGAGTATCGAATATTTTATTCAGTATCGGTATCGAATTGAAAAGTTTAGTATCGTGACAACCTTAAACAGAATGAAAGGATTTAACTGAAGGCCTGATAAATATATATATATATATATATATATATTTTTTATTTCTTTTACGGCTAAGTTAGAAAAAAGAAGAAAAAAAAGAAAATGGCTCTAAAGGCAAGTGGAATAATGTGTTTTAAAAAAAGAAACTAAACAAATCTATGTGAAAAGGACTGACCATGTTTGGCACGCTAGTGACAGCAGCCCCTTTGAGCTCATTGGGGAATGGTGGCAGGCTGTTGGGAAGCGCAGCTTTGTTCTGGAGCTGCTGCGGAGGATTTAGCTGCTGGCCCGGTCCAGCAGCACCCTGACCATAAGGCTGAGCCCCAAACGGACTTCCATTGCTACCCAGGCCCATCTAAGGACAACAGATAAGAAACAGAAGAGGACGTCATTTAACAATGTTTAGCTTCTAGAAAAAGCTACTTCATAGTTTTAATTCTGCAGGATGCATACTTCTCTTAAACAAAAATTTAGATTTACCAGCTTAAAAAAAAAAACAAAAAAACAAAAACACCTCAGCTCCTGCTGAGCACAGGTGCCCTTACTATCACTACTGTATTTCACTGCTCTACCAACCAAACTTGACACTTCAGCCAAGCCGTCATTACAAGACATCGCTCTTGCCAAAACAAGCACTTCTGTAGGCATGCCAGAGTAATTGTCCACAATTATGTCCAAATTAGTCAAGAGATTTTCAGGCACCATGTCAGCACAGCGTGACAGAAGCCATTGCCATGAATGGAATCAACTCTTAACAAGTGAATCAGCCCACAGTTTGCCTCCTCCTTTCCCTTTGAGTCAGGACAGTTGACAAGTTTGCATCGACTCCAGATTGGATGGAGTTCCTGACATCAATTAGAAAATAATTTAATGGTGTCTGTTATTTTGTCCTTTATTGCTTCTTTTATTCTTCAAATATAAATTTCAGGATCTATATACATTTTTCTAATACTATGGATACAAACTGCGATGTGGTAGGTCTCATCATTTGGATGGAAATTTGATTTTTTTCTAAAATAAATCCCACGTGCAATTCTTTTGAAAATCCAGTAAATTCAATTCAAGTGATTACGTTTTTTTTTTTTTTAAAAGCTAAAAATAGTTTTTATTGGCAAATTGAAATAAAAAAACATCCCTGATGTTGAAAACTCAGCATCTAGGAATTTGATTAAAGAGAAAATTGTGTTTGAAAAAAAAAAAAAAAATCAAGTAGAGCTAAGAGCTTTATAAAAACATTTTGAATAGAGATCTCTATAGGTGGGTTTCTGCTAAATACAGACAAAAACACATAAAGCCAGATATATGGCTCCAATAAACCAGCTGAGGGATTGTTTTCTATATCGCCTTGCTTCACACACTGATTAACTTGCTGCTGCTCTCTCATCCATGAAGCTGGGGACCAGAGCAGAGTCTGCCATGCCAGGCCGTATCTCCTCAGGCTGTTGACATCGCTCCAACAGACCAGATAAAAAGGACCCAGCTGAGACGACCAGACACTGGCAGCCTTTCAACACAGCTGAGCAGGAGGACACACACAAACACTCCCCCTACGTTGCTCTTCCCATTCAGGCATTACTCCCCCACCCAGACACACTCCACATGTTGGCAGACAGCACAGAGGCCAACTATCACCATAGCGCTCTGCTGCCAGACTGGGCTTTCTGGAGGATCTGGCCAACATCTCTCCATCAACGTCAGTTGTAACTTAAGTAAAGGTATTTTGCTATATCAGTCCGTCCTTACATCACTGATGTGGTAAAACCGTAGGCATCAACTTTTTGAAATACTTTAAAGAATAAATGAGAAAATTAATTGCAGCATGTTTTTCAGGCTCTATGAAGACTTGTGATTTTTTTTTAAGTGGTCAGGAGCGAGTGCATGTGAACCACTTTGAGTCCTTCACTTCATGCTTGTCTTTTGTAAGTCTAAATTTTATTTTATTTAATTACAGACATATGAACAGTCAATGGTTTACTTGCATTTCTCAAGAGCATTGATGTTTTAAAGATTTTTGAATTTAATAATGACCGATCTGTACGTCATGTTTTTCCAAAATGGGATAACAATCCATAGACGACAGAACTGGATGCTAAACAATTTTCACAACCTACATTTTAATATGCCTCCTGCCGTTATTCTGGGAAGATAATCGGCCAGTGTTTTGTCTGTTTGGTTTCTTGGCCCAGATCTGTTTCAAGAAGTAAGCCCCTTTGTCAAAAACTACCTCTTCTAGCTTAACTAAAATCAGCAGCTACATCTATGGACAAGTTAAATCCCTAGAAAGAAAAAAATAAAATAAAAATCATATAGCTACAAATATCAACATGTAGAATGGTGACCAGCTATTTAACTCTAATGCTGCGTTCACACCGGGGGCAGCTGGCGCGACAGAAGCAGCGAGTTTACATGCAAAGTCAATGGTTGACGCGCGTCAAGGCGCAGCAAAAAGTCCCGCGGCGCGTTTCGAGCAGCAAGCGCAGCGCGTCTGAGCAGCTGAAGCAGCGCGTCGGGCGCGTTTTGGCATCTGACGCGCGTGACGCGCCGCAAACGCGTTGCTGCTCGAGATGGAAAAATTGAATTTTTGCTGCTCGACGCGCCGCGTCAACCAATCAGAGAAGCTGATCTGGGAGCTGGCAGGGAGAGAGACACAGCGCTGATAACACAGACCGCTGTGATTACTCCTCTTAAACAGTTTATTAACGCACAATTAACTTAAAATATATACATCTGCCGGCAGAATATGTTCGCTTTTATTATCCTGATGCCTGCAGATCGGATTATTTAGATGAAAAACACCTACCAGCCGCCGCGGTAAACCGCGAGGAGGCGACCCGTCCAGAGGCTACTGTTGAATGGATTCCTTCTGTCGGCGCACCGCTGGTATGTGGGGGTCTGAGCGGCTCCGACAGAAATAACATTGGGAGGCAGGATTGTAATCTGGATGAACTGACTGCACTGATTACGTTTTCAGGTGTATTTTCTCACTTAAAAACATATTAAAACTAATTTATTCCCACTGATCACAGCAAATATAGCTGCAAGGCAGAGAAAGGATAGTGAAGCTCCGCCCAACGCGCGTCAGACACACTTTTGGACCGCGCAGCGAGAGCAGCAAAGCTGCATCAGACGCGCGTCAGAATTCACTGGTACAAGCAGCAAAAATGAAGCAGCAGACGCGATTTTGCTGCTTTTGCTGCCCCCGGTGTGAACGCAGCATAACTAGTACTTCCTCAACTTCTTAAAGGCTGAATTATACTCAGAAACCAGGTTGTCTGCACGTGTCACAGTGAATGCAAGTGTGCCCCCGCCCCTACCGCAGACACTCTGCTTCATCTCTCCAAAATGGTAGGTGAACCCAGACAGTGCTGCACACAGGAGGCCTCTGACTGGTCAATTCTACATAAGCTCTACACTATGAGTATTTCCTGTATGGTACCGGCTTGTTTGGTTTGTATGACCGCCATTGTGGAAAACGACTCGAGAAGTTGGACCAGTTAGAAGAGCGAGGTGCGCGAGAACGCTGGAACCCTTTTTTCTCCTGGATCCCTGCTCTTTTTTGCCCTGAAGTCCCTCTGTTGTCGCACAAACCTGCCCCCACTTCCTCACCGCTTCAGCCACATCTAGACCCATAGCTAGTTCGCGATTGTCCCTCTGGCGTTGTGGTGTGAAATAACATAGCGCGGACCAGGCTTCAATATTGGGCATAAATCAAAACTCACTGCGGCAAACTCACTTAAGGCTGGACGATATGGCCAAAACAATATATATCTATATTTTTTTATTTTAGTCGATACAATCTCATTCAGACATCGATATAAACAATTTAAAATCCTCAGAGAAACTGCAAAGAAAGGCCACAACAAGACCCTCAACACTTCTTAACGTTTTTATGCCAAGTCTATGAAACTCCTACAAGTTAAAATTTAAAACACATTTTTAAAGAAAAACTTCAATTTTTTTTGGGAGCTACAAGCTCAACAGATGAAATGCACATTTAACCAGGTGATTATCTTTCCCTCATATTTCTTGCCTCTTTCAGTTTCTTTGTCGGCTCCTTCATTTTTTCCATGTTTCACCATCCTATGTTCAAGAAGACAAAGACAACCAAGGCAAATAATTTATTTAAAATCTTTTAACTAATATCTAAAATAAATAAATAACATAACTCTTTCTGAAAATACAATTTAAAGGTTTCCAATTATTTCTCAAAAATCATCCTGTTAAGATTTCTCCCCCTCCCTCAGACAAGCTGCCCTACCCGAGTCTTTTTTTTTTTTTTTTTTACCAAAGGTTTGGTTTATTTTTATGAGAATATATTCTCATATCAAGTAAAACAGATCAAAACAGATCCTGGCCCTATTTTTTTTTTAACCCTTGCATAGCCAGCATTCAGAACACTGGTGACATCTGAACAAAAGCTTTATCTTAGCAGGGATCAACTCAGTCAAAACAAATCGATTCATACATCTCATAATGTCCCTCTGTAACCACAGAATGGAGCGTATATCTGAATACTGGAAATGTGTTCAGATGTCATTTCACAGTTATTGAATAAAATTATACTGATATTGAATTATTGTTCAGCTTTAGTTCCCCAACAAACATAAATCAGAATTTAAACAGGTTTACAATGTCAAACCGGAGACTTTTATTTCAGGACCACTCTGATGTCATCACTATAGAATCACTTCAGTCATAGTTCTCCCTCATGTCTGCCTTCATTATTGTCATCACACATTTTCCACCAGTTTCCAATAGGTCTGCAGTTATTAAAGATGGATTATTTCTTCAAATCATTTGTAAAAGAAAATATACTTTTGGTAAATTAAAGTTCAAATAAATGTTTTAAAAATGTGTTTATTTTAAACAACAAATGGGTAAACATGCAAAAGAAAAAGTAAATTCAATGCTAACATGCGTAGGAAAAACGAACACTTTTCTAACACTTTCTGCTTTTTGATTAAAGATGGGGTAAAAAAACTAAAGGAGTCCGTTTTCTTGCAGTATTTAAACCCGGGGAAGCTAGACTGCAACTTGAGTTTGGATATTTATAAAAGAAGATTATTCAAATTAAATGGATAAAAAAATGTTTTGCTGCAAAGTCTTAATAGCATATGGCATCTTTTAGAGGTCTACTCTAAAATACTTTTTGATTTGTTTAGTAAACTCATGATTATTTAGACAAATGGTTATAATACAGTGAACCCAACAGTCAATCCTAGCAGCGAATAACACTGCACGATCAGAATCTACAACAAATACAAACACAGGGACCCAAATGGTGACCCAGTAAAAGGATACATCAGCTTCATTACCCTGCTGCTCAGCTGTTAATAGTGGCTAATGTGGTTAGCAATAACAAGGGAAAATGCAAACAAATAGCCTAACCAGACTTCTAACTGCTGAAGCATAACTGACCTAACTAAAGCAAGTGGATAAGCAATGAAAATAAGATATTAGATGATCAACACAAATCTCTGTGTTAATCATAGTTCTGCAAGAAGCAGAACCATGACCCCCACCTCCGATTATGGATTAATAAGGCCTCTCACATAATACCAAGTGATCCAGGAAGATGATGGGTCCCGTCTGCTTACACAGCATGCTTCCTGTGTGGGTTACCACTCACAGTATTGACCTGAGCAAGATGTGGAAGGCGTGTAAAGGATTCCCAAGGAATCCCTGAAGGCTTCCCAAACGCATTCAGTGCTTTAAACATCAGCCAACTTTTGCACCACACACAACATGTTATTTACATCAGATTCTACTCAGCACTGCATTTCTAAGATCAGAGCAGGATGATAAATTAATATTGTAATTATGTCTAATTAGCCATTTATTAGGAAAAATACCTAAAAACCTTACTTAGGCTATCCAATTATTAATAGAAGAAAATTAGCGACAGATTAATCAATTGGCAAAATAAAAGTTAGTTGCAGCCCTTATATAAACTTAAATCTGGGTAGCTTAGCTGCTAAGAGTTTTTTTGTTATTTTCTCATTGTTTACAGCAGATTTAACAGCTTGGATTTAGTTACAGTCTAAATTCAGGTCAACTCCCCAGAGGGGGTGATGGAAATAAGAGAAATATTTCAAAAGAAATTTGTCATTTGTTATTATGAAACAAAAGGGAAAAAAAGTTGGAAAAAAGGCAGAAAACTTGTAAAGAAAATGTGAAACTTTATTTTCAATCCATATCAGACTGACCCTGTATGGGCTGTTCTTGGTTCAGACTTGCACTCTTCCTTTGTGTTGCATCACTTACGTCACACTTATTACACAATCTGGTACTCTCCCTCATAGTGGTTACAGGTTTAGTACCCCCTACTAAGGGAGCTTGGGGAGCAATGACTGAGAAGATTACTTCATTCTGTATCCTGATTTTACAGATGATGGCTAGGAACGAAGAACACGTAAAAAAGTATGTTTCAAAATTTGTTTATAGACTATCAGAGGAGAAAAAAAAACATTGTCAGTCTTAAACCACTAAACACACAGATGAAAAATAAAATTATTCACGACCAAATAGTTGAATCCACACAGATAAAAGTTTTTCAACCAATTCATCATATATTGAGTTCAGTTTTAAAAGTTTCCACCCAAATCACAATCTAACTAATCCCTGAATGAGTTATAACAATTAGAGTGAACTACAGAAGTGACATAACCACGTGCATGTGAAAGCGTTTTATTTTCTGGGATAACGGCAGAATGACTCACCTTGTTCATATTGCCTGCCTGCTGGGCTGCGCTGAGGGTGGTGTGAGCTCCCATCTGCTGTCCTCCCTGGGTAAGTGTCTCTACCAACGCGCTCCCAGATGCTCCAGGTCCAGGTGCGCTTCCTGGGATTGCAGCTGCTTGATACTGCATACCTGCCACACCAGCGCCCCGTCCCCTACCGGCGCTGGGTACGAGACCCCCATTCATCACCTGCCCAGGCTGAGGCTGCCCCCCTTGGCCTAAAAGTCCTGCATGGCCCGGGCTGTTGTTCATCATTGTTTGGTTAAATCCCGTCGATCCCAAACCCATAGCTGTGGTATTATTGTTACTGTTCTGTCCTACTACTCCAGTTGGTGTTCCTGGTTTCTGGCCCTGAGGGGACGAGTGGCTGTTAGGAGAACCCTGGCCGAGGGGGCTCTTGCCCAAAGGTGTCCCGAGCTGGGAGCCCATGCTGCCAGGTTGAGGGCTTGCAGAGTTGAGCCCAGTGCCTGTGATGCTGGAGGTGCTTCCAGCTCGAAGAAGCTCCGAGAGCTGCTTATGTTTGGCGGCTGCATCTTGAACGGGTCCGCCGCCTCCGGGAGTAGCTCCGCCATTTGAAGGCAACCCACCTAACTGGCTTAAGTCTCCTCCATTTGGGATCAACTCATCTGGCAGATCGTTTTCTAAATCATCCCACGGCAAAGACCCTAAATCTGTGGGTAAGAAGAGACAAGGAGAAAAATGTGAAAATTTTATACAGACAGGGGTAATACACAGACCAAAACATCTAATAACAACAATAGGGGTGTGGGAAAAAAAATCGTTTTGGCGATATATCATGATTTTTTTAGGCTAAACATTTTTACCTAAAACTGAGGGAAAATGGGCTACCTCTGCACCGCCAGTCTGACAGAAGCCCTTTTGCTGTGCGGCGCAGTGCATTATCTGTAGTTGAGGCAGTCACAGCCGAAGGCGTAAACTGACTCAAACCCAAAGCAACATGGATATCAAAACAAATGAACGACAAATATCATCTGATGAACATATACAGAGGTTGCTTTTTAATCTATACATTTAATTTTGAAAGCATGAAAATTATCAAAATATATGGTGATATTGCAATATAGTGATAATATCGTACCGCAACACCCATGCCAATACTCATACCTAGTAAACAATACGCAACCATATGGTCTAATTTTTCCATTTGCCATGTGAAAATTTTCTTCTGAAAAAATAGAATTTTATGGGACTGATAATTGAAACTATAACCATGTGTTTGAGGAAAACTAAAACAATGCAGCACCCTGAACATGCTGCTGTAAATAGGAGTAATAATGGTGTTAGCATAATAACTTGAAGATGCTTTTCTTCTGCAGGGTGAAATGAAAATGGTCGGAGTTGACGGAAAGACAGATGGACTAAATGTTGGGGAGGAAAAATTCTAGCAGGACAACACTGATCATAGCTGCATGTACTGATGTACCAGATTATTTCAGACCTACATTACCTCAGCTAATATTCAATCTTTATTAAGCAGCATGCAAACTGTTGCAAGCGTTTAATAAAAAAAAAAAAAAAAACGTCGCAAAAAAGGAATAGCAGCGACTATATACCAAAGTTTCCTGCAGGGAGGTGGGAGAATTCTTGCACGACAGAGAAGTGAGACTAATAAAGACAGCCTGGAGAGGCAGGCCTTGTTTAAAGCCATTTTTAGCGAGCATTCTGACAGAGCTTTTTTAATGAGAGAGCAGTTTGCCTTTTATTTTGTTCAAACATGGGGAACAGTAGGAAATGTTTGGGTACACTGAGAAAAAAGATCCAATTTAAGCTACATGAGATAGAGAAAAGCTTGTTCGCTATTATTACACACAAAACAGAAATGATGTGACACTGAAATCTAAGTTTAGTGTTGGTATAGTTTAAAAAATGGCTAAACAAGGTTGAATTTTTGTCCACAATGTAACTTTTATATGTTTGAGTATTTAAAAAGTCAAGGTGAACTCTGAATTAACCTTAACTGTATGATTTGATTGCAACGATTCTTTACAGTGACTTTAGATACCATGTTGTGAGTTGGTGATATATAAAACAGCCCATATAGTTAGTTCCAGTAGTCAGTTAAAGTTAAATTAAATAGGGAATCCATCTTATACCACTCCAGAAAATGCAAATATACAGAATATATATAAAAGAGAACTTTGTGTCACATCAATAATCATTCAATGCAAAAAAACAAGAATGCATGAATTATTGAAAACACCAAAAAGATATGTGATGCTTAAGATATGGTTTTAGATTGAAAAAAGTAGTTTTTTTTCTCTACTTCAGCCTTTTTGTTTTCGTTAACTATTTTTTTTTTGTCTGTCCCAAATAAAAATACTACTATCATTACATGTTGAATAGTGTGTAGTGATAGTATTTAACTGATCCAAATAATCGAAAAGCCATTGCTCTAAAAAGAGGTTTGATGAGATTGAACTGATTTAATTCAAAAATAGTTTATTGATCCTTAAGTGAATTTAAATATTAATCATCATGGTACATTAAAAGGTCTTCACTTAGGTTCAAGCAGTGTTGTAGTAATGAGGGAATCAGACCTACAGGTTTCCTGAAGCTCTCCTAGGTCACTACAGGACTTTACTGACTTTGAACTTGACTGAAAAGGTTCTCTTTGATATTTTATTACTTAATCACTAAACTGTATATTTTGGAGGAAGACCACATGTCTGATTTCTGTCACATTGTTCTGATCTGATGCACGCAGACATGGATGTTTGGCAGTTTGCCAGTTCTTCATCCCTTTTTAATTCTACAGCTCTGCAAACAAAACAATCCAAGAGTAAAGGGGAAGGGCGGTAGAGCAGCAGCTAATTTATTTGAACATTAAAATGAGCTGAAGCGAGTTCAGTTCTCAACCGGCACACAAACCAACCTGCAAGTTTTCACAGTTATGCCAACAAGATCACAGCTAGCTCACAAGAACTGTTCAAGTATAAAGGTCAGTCTTTCACTTAACAGAAAATTTGTCAAAAGTTTTAGACATTTTAGGTGATGATTCTTGCTGATAGTCTTCATGCAACACTTGGATTTGAGTTATAAAGTTTCATGGTCAGGGTCTGAAATTAACACTCACCAAATTCAACTGAATTTTTCACTTGAGTTAATGCCAAAGCACCATTCACCACAAGGCGAGTAAATGTTTGGACATCCTTTCATCTATTATTTTGGTAAGTCTCCCCTCTGTCCCCCTTTTCCTCTGCCGTCTTGTCCTCATGCGGCAGTAGACAGGTGCACACCCCCAACACCCCGTCATTTAATAACAATCCTGCCGCTAGCCAAACTGTGGCGGTATATAAATGGAGCAGCCAAGTCAACTAAAACAAAGAAGACAACATGACGATAAGGAGTAGGGGGAGGCAGGATCTACGGCCCCCTGAGCGACAACAAAGTTTATTAGAAATGAAAAAATAAAAATCGGAAAAACTGTGGCTGAAATTCGACTGTCCAATCTAATCCATGTATAGAGCACTATATAAGTGTTACGCTATTTAAAAAAAATGTCCGCTTGCCTAGTGAATGAAAAAGTGTCGGACTAAAGTTTCCCACAATGCACCTTGCAAAACAATGTGCATAAAAGGTGACTAAATGAACAGATATATCCCAGAATGCTTTGCAAGAGCTCTCCTCACAAATCAACATGGGATTTGTTTAGGGGGCGAGAAACAACAAAGATTGCGCAGGCACCGTGCAGGGAGGCGAAGTCACATGATCAACGGGGAGGGAAAAGCGGAGATCATCTGTCCATATGGTCAGTTATCTGGCTGTTAATGTTTTGTCATTTTCATTGTTGCCAACATCACAATGGTTGGATGAAGTCATGTGGCTGCAGCGTTTCTTGTTTTTATTTTTGCTTGTTTGTTATTACATTGGAGTAGCTCAGTGGACTTCTTCAGAGTTCATTGCAAACCCAAACAGATTTTACTTTTGAAATGCTAACATTGTAATCGACACTTTGGATCAGAAAGGTCGGCAAACTTTTGAGGCCAACTTATTAGTCATTAGGTTGAAATCTCACTTTAAACTATTCCCTTTATACAGTGACCTGCTTACTTTTAAAGGTATCCTTGAACAACGGGGAACATTTATCAGAGAGTGAGCTTGTTGCTCTTCGGGACTGCTATAAGAACAAATAATATTCGCCATCTTTAAGTGGGAAAAGTTGTATCCTTGTGAACACCACAGGATAGATTTTGCCTGAGGAGACCAGGGCCAACAGGTTAAACAACCTGCCGTCTTGAAACAATAGGTTTCAACCTTAGTGAGTAAAAGGCTTGCTATTGAGATTGATTTTGAAATAAAATCAGAGTCAATGATAGTGGATTTGCAGAAATGCTTATGGTGAGAATATTCATCTCGTCTATTTTCCATTTCTTTTTCTCATGGTTTCCTAGACACCGACAGACAGAGACATAAGTGCTTATACATGAGTTTATGGTTGGTCTATTATATGATGCTAAGGTGTAGAGCATTTCGCACTGGAAGGCTGACATTTCGAGGAGAATGAATATCATCAAGCAAACCTGTATTGGAAAGTAAGCTTGCATGAGCGATGCAAACACAAACCTTTGAAAACAGCATGTAAAGAAATGGGCTTGTGCCCTCCTGGCACGGATTTAATAGGCATTCCCTTACGGGAGCAGGTACAGGGTTGTGTTTTTTTTTTTTCCCTAAGTGGAGTGGGTGGGTCTTTTATAAATTTTGTGAAAATCATCAACTATACCTTTAATTCAACAGAGTTTTATTCACATGACTCTGAACACACCCCTGCTGATATGCTCTTTACAGTCCCCTGTGGAAGTTTTTAATGACAGAGAGGGGCTCTGTCATCTGTCTTTTGTTTAATTTAAATCTGCAATGCAATGTTAAAATCTGGAAGCTAGGGTTTGGCAGACTGGAACCGGTTTGAACCTTTCAATTCTCCTGGAATCTTTCGAACGTTTTATATTTAATTCCTAGTTTTGATGCCCATGCCACCCACCTGAAATAGAAGCCGCCTAATATCAGTGAAGAAGAATCCGCAGCAGTGTGCCAAGTCTGATGCAGCATTCAAAAGTGTGGCTTAAAGCTAATTAGGGAAATGACTAGTCTACTAGCCACGACCCTAGAGATGGGATTGTACTATACAAAGGACGGCACACGGCTGCCATAATTAAACACAGCTGAACTCAGAATGAGAGCCCCATTACCCGCTGCACCGGTGTTGTGCTAAGGCAGGTTCCCTTAAGGAATTTGTTACTCCTTTTAATTCATAGCGCAGCTTCTGCAAGGAGAGAAGAGCCTGTTTTATAGTTTTGTCTTCTTACTTAACGACTTAACAGGTACCCACCTTGCTTCCTACACATTCTGGGTACACTGAAAGGCACTTTAACGTAGATCTACCAAACTTATGAATAATTTTTGTAGTTTTCATGTCTAGTTGAATGGAACTGAGGTGCGATAAACAAACGTTGAGGAACTCTTTCAGTATGCCTTCCTGCTGCACTGCTTTTTCCTCCAGCTCAGGCATCAGCTTAGAACCACACCGCAGTCAGAATCAGGTAACTAAAATATAATTGTCTAATACAAACCTGAAGAATCAGACACTGGATATATGTGAACGTGTTTTAATGAGGGTTTAAACAATATAGCTCAGTTTTCAAATGTAACCTTGAAAGTTCTTCACTTTTATAAGATTTCATATGTTTTATATTTATATACTGGTTCAAAATAAGTGATAACTTTAACATTCACAAAAAGTTAGATGTTGAAGTAACTACATTTTATTAAGAAGTTCAGACCATTTTATTTAGAAAGACTTCTAGTTTGCCCTATTTTGCTATTAACATTAACTTCTATGATTCTTCTTAAAAGAATGATTTGTTTAAACAAGGAATTAGAATCAAACCATGCAAATTAAAACGATGCTCAACACAACTTATAGCCTGATTTAAGTGACACTAGGTGAAGTAAAAAGTGACATTCAGTAACTGCAGCTATAAGTGGTATTGTCTGGATTTTCAGTTCGTTTTCATCAAGTCTTAAAAATGAATTCAACCGTAGCAGTAATGGGAAGTTGTTTGTTTTAAAATGTATAAAGGATTTACAGAGTTGCGATTTTTAGACCCCCTCTAGCATTTTTAACACATTAGCACGACGTGGATACATTAAAAGCCCCTCCCACATATATCGGCTCACTGGCATGGCAAACCCTCATTACGGCCATTACTTTGGATCAGCTTGGTTTAATCTTTATGCTCAATTTTTTTTCTGTGGGGGAACCGCCTTCAGCTTGGTGGCATACATTCTATGAGCCAGTTTTCTTATTTGAACAGTTTCTATCAGATGTTTTCTGAACTCTGGAACCAGTTTTTCAATTGTGCTGGTTTTCCTTCCCCCACCTGTTAATCAAAACACTGGATACACTGGCTGAGGGAAGGCATCCCTTTTTGATACTCATAATAAAGAAAAAGGTTGCTTTTTGGAAAACTTTTCCAAACGCAAACCAGCAGAGTCACGTTTGAAAAACAAGTGCTAGCTATGATTCAATTTTAACATGACTACATTTTAAAACAGCAACCTGGGAGCTGTGATTAGCATGTCTCTAAAAACCAACTACGAAAAGGATCTCAATCAGTGATAAATAAAAGTTAGTTATATCCTTTAGACTACAATGATCCACATATTTCAGTAGAAACCAATGTAAATGTTGAGTTTTAGTTGAAAAAAATGGCTGTAGCAACATGTTATACATTCTTAATTATTTCTATACATAAATACTGGAATGCTTAAGTGTTTTTGCCCCAAGGCTTTCATTCAATTAGAGCATGTGTCAAACTCAAGACCCAACCCCAACCTGTCAGCCAATAAGTTCAACCCTTAATAGTAAAAAACGCACACCACACCATAAACTAGCATGTGTTCTTTTAAAGTAAAAAAATAAAAATGCTAAAAATGTGAAATAATTCGAAGTTATAATACCAATAGCCTGACCAGCCAGATATATACAATTTGTACACAGCATACTAGTGGTGAAAGGAATGGGAGATCCCAATTTCAAATTCGGGACAAAGGTAGTCAGTGGAAAACGTTTAAAACAAATCAAATAACTACTGATAAAATGCAAAAACAGATTTTCTTTGATAAAAAGAAAATGTTTTTAAAGCAGCCAAATGTTTAAATTTTTAACAATATAAACAGCTTCAATGATCAGTCTGTTACAGCGACAATCTTGACTGTTATGGCTACATAAAAGTGCTGTTGCAATATGGGACCCCCTCCTGCGCTGTGATTGGTCAGGTCTATTTTACTAGACTGGTCAGTCTGGCTGGCCAGGCTATAATAGCAGAGCAGAGAGCACTTTGTAAATGATATGATGCATGAAAAGTTTAGTTTATACATTTGAAACCTGTCCTTTCAAAAGAATCTAGAACTAGAACTAGAAATCTGCAACTAATAACACCAATATCGGCATCCTGTTTAGTTATTTTTATATTAATCTAACACAACAAAGTTTAGAAGTCTGAAATATCCTTTCTTACATATAAGGTTATTTTCAACATATGCAGTCTGGTGGGAGCGTATGTGTCCACCTGCGTGTGAGAGCACCTGAATCAGCATCAGCTTGCATTGGTGATAACAGTATAAAATTCCTGTTTTCGACTTAAGTTTTTTTTTAATTTTTATATTTTATAAAAGAGAGCTAAAAGTAGATAAGAAACCATATAGAGGCAGAAATAGCACATGATGTGCTCTGCTGTTACTATAAAGAGGTTAACAAACCTAATAGGGCTGCAACTAGCATTTATTTTGCAATTAGATTAATGTGTTGATTATCTTTTCGACTAATCAGATAGAAAAGGTTACTTACTTTTTACAAAATTTAACCAGATGAAAGTAAAACTTCCACTTGAGGAGTTCTGAATAGAGCATGTTAACAGATTTTTTTTAAATGCAAAATTTATTTTTATTTATTTTTTTAAATATCTTCGAACATTTACTGCTCTAATTGGGTCGCTCTGTCAGCTAAAGGCACATTTTAGAGTCTCTATACTCCAGATAAAAATTAAGCCATCACTAAATCTTTTGACGTTTATTTAATTAATCGATAAATCACAATTAATCTAATTAAATGTTTCATCCCTAAAATCTAATGACGTAACAGTGCATAATTGCAGCAGAAATGCCAAAATTAGATACTTTATGACTGGTTTTCTGACAAATCCCTCCAGAGAGGTTTTTCACGAATATTTTCAATTAATAATTTCTGCAGCCAGTGCATTTCAGCGTAACCGTGTAATTGCAGCAAAATTTTCACATCTAAGACCGCAACAGGACATTACCCCAAAATGTGCTGACGAGAACCCTGAAACTGCTGTGGAAATATATGCTTTTTTGAACATATAAAAAAAACCTTTATTGTCATAGTTAATGGAAACAACAACTGTGACAAAGTCAGGGAGTTATCAGTTTTGTTTCAATTAATTTACGGATTTAAGCTTTTCCATGTCAAAACTGATTTCGGGTTTTTTCTCTAAGATCAGGCTTGTTGATTCTGGTTTTTACAGGTTAGAATTTGTTTATCCTGAAGCTTGTACCACACATTAAAATAAAATAAAAAAAAATCTGTGTGCTTTGTTCTTTGTTGGACATACTTGTTTAAGTTCAATATAAAAAAAATGATCACATTACCTCTAATTATGTAACTGTGCATTTTTACCCTGAAAGTTAAAATAGGTTTTGATGATCAGAAAAAAACAAAAAACAAAACAAAAGAAAAACAAAAAATTTATCAGATCTGATCCAATGATCATCAATCAGTGCCAGTCAGGGAGAAATCATCTAATTTTAGTTTCTAGTTGACCGAGTACCACATATCTAGTTTTTAAGATCTGAATATGCTCTGAGCTCTAGGATTAAACTCTTTTATCATTCCCAACCCTTACAGCCCAGGGACAATAACACAAGAGCTTTTATCAAACAACTCACTGCTTTAGCAACATCAGTGTGCAAATATCATCATCTATCATTAGCCGAACCATTTGTGGTTGGGAGGGCGTGATGTTGAAAGGCAATTTTGCAAAAATAAATAGTGCAGTTAGGCTTTCCAATTCTCCTCCATGTTAACAATAAGACAGGCCTCCTGCAGAAGCCATTATGGTTAGACATGTTACCATTAGCGAATCCTCTTGAAAGGAGTTTTTTTGTTCTTATTTGATACCAAGAGCAGCAGGTTTTAAAACATTTTGCTGAAAATGTCCCCATGCCCAGCAGACTGCACAATATAAGGGAAATATGTGACTGCAATGTTATTGCTGATAATTGCTATGATGATATTAATCATGATCAATCTGCATGTTTCTTGTAAAGAGAGAGAAAAAAGGAAGACAAGTCAAAATCAACTTCAGTTATAAAATGAAGGATTGTGTTTGTCAGCAACATTAACGTAAATTCAGATGTATAATTTAACCTTAGGTGAACTCCTAATTTATAACCAAATCACTTAAAATTATTGTCACTTCAGGTTGTCTTTTTTTTTATCCGTTTCAGGGAAACATTTGTTGAGACTACAACCAAATGTCCTACACTTACAAAACCTGCAATTTTTCTAAATAAATTCAAACTGAGTACCAGTCGATTGTAGCTAAACTGCAGAATAACCATGCAGTTCGAGAAAGTATTGTCCTATCAGCCAGTTTCTGGCTGCTATTTAAAGTGCAATCACTTGATTAGTAATTAACCCACAAACTATGTTGTCCCTTCAAAAATAGCTGCAGATTTTTCATTTGTGTTTGCATCACTATTGGTACCAATGAGAACATTAATAATACCAAGAATAGTATTTTTTGTTTTTATATTTTGTTTTTCTATTTTAATTCCTGTTGGCAACATGAACTTAAATATGCACTGCCAAAAATTAAATATAACTGAAGGATATAATGGTCATTTAAAGTCATTTTTTCACACATTGCAATGCAGAGGCTTGCTTTACCTTGAAAATCTGTTTCTAAAGCCTGATTTTATCCCTGCAGAGATGATCTTGTCTAATTTTCAAGTATTATCATTAGTATTTTCGATTAAATAGTTCCCTCCCCAGAAATAAACTTCAAAAGACATCTAAATATCCACATGGCTGGCTTATTTCATTTACACATGCATGGGGCAAATTAACAATGTGGCAGGGAGTGATCCAGCTAAAAACAAGGAGAGCTAGAACTGCAGCAATCTCCCAACAATCTGGCCTCAACGTAAACAGGGTCTGAGCGAGGAGAAGGAAACCACAACAGTGCCGAAAAACAGTGAGAACACCCCTTTATCAACTCACCTGGGGTTAAATCTGAACCTGGGCAGTCTGGCTGACAAGTAGGAGTTAGTATTATATATCACACGGATTACTGCTGTGTGCAAACAGTAGATATTGAAGGTTTTTTTTTCATTTAGAAAGAGTGGTAAGGCCTTACCTTGTCCATCAGACGCTGATAGGGCAGGTGAACTCAGTTTCGGTCGCTTGGAGCTAGGAGGTCCGACATCCAGCAAGTTTTCAGCCATAGTTGTCTTCAAAGTCTTTCAGGTTTCTTAATTATGCACTAACTTGTGACAGGGAAGTGTTTTAATCGGGCGGAGCCTTCCCAGTTAGCACATTAGCAAGTTGGCAGCTTAGTTAGCTAACTGGCTAATTGCTCTGGCAACTGTTAGCTACTCCTCGCTGTTAAGAGTCAACGTCTTTCAAAAGAGATGCAATAGCGCCCCGCTTCGCCACCGCCATTCACCCCATGATAATCCAACACCCAACACCCACATTATTACCATTAAATAACCGAAAATAAAAGAGTCCCCATGTAAAAATCCGGCTTCAATGAGTCAATCCAGATAAATTAGATAAGTTGCTGCATACCGGGAGAAAAGTCGTAATTCCTAAATGTTTAAAGTACCCATTTTGCGTGACGTCAAATTTCTTCATGCAAAAATCGCGCGAAGCTCCGCAAAATTGCACACTTGCACAAAAAATGCAATTTCTGGGGGAAAAATCCTCCTCGAAAGCCGCGGTCTCGTCCTCGGGTAGCGGACGGTAAACAACGCTGCTCCCGAACGGGCGACAGGGGGCTCGAATCGCCGCACTCTGAAGGGGAAATCAGATATACGGAGCAATTCTGCCCGACGACCACCGTTCTGATTCCAGTTTTTTTCGCACAAAATGTTCCAGGCGCGACGTTAAGGTTTCGTTTTCGACAGAAGGACGCTGTCACAGTCTGGTAAGGATACTGTATTTCTACGCGAAATCCAGTGTTGGATCGAAATCCCAATTCCGAGCCACGACAAGATGGCGGCTGTTGATTCCTTCGATACAAAAAAGTTTTTTTTTCTTTTCCAGATCGACTATGGAGGGGGAGGGGCCGCACAATCACGCCCTGCGTAAAAACGCTGCCACCGGACAACGCTAGGGGCGCTCAAGCACTATGAGAGGAGGAAAGCAATTTATTTTGCTTATTACATTTTTAACAGTGTTGTAAATTAAGTTGATTACAATAAAAAAAAACCCCTTTTTTGGAAGGTTTTTTTTTTAAAAAATTATTTTGTACTGTTGTAATGTTAATGTTTGGACTAGTATAAGGTTCAATAACCTAAGTAAGACATAATTTTTTTCTCATATGTGACCTTTATATCCAGTTAAAAAGCACTTATTTTATATTAACATTTTATTCAAATGATTGAATGTTATTTGTATTGCTTATTTCCTTTAACTTCGAGTATATATATGTATATACACACACACACACACACGTCTGTTTATATATGTATACATATGTATATATACATACACATATGTCTGTGTATATATGTATACATATGCATATATATATATATATATATACATACGTATGTATATATATTTTTTTTTCAAAAGTGATTTAATACATTCTTACTTCTTTTATCTATTTTCAATCATTAAATTAATAGCTTAGATACATTTGACAATTACATAATAATATAAAGTTAATGAGACGATGTTTATAATGTATGACTTTTAACTTTCTAATAACATAGTCCCAACCATGCGCAAGTCTTACCATCAAACGGACCCCCTAAGAGTTTAGTACAGTAACTATTTTCTCAATTTCTTTCAGTCAGCAGGAAAAAAAAAAAAGATATTAACCTTACATTTTTAAAGTTCTAGCGTTCACTTTGTTCCAACCAATTATCAAAATGTCATTCATGAGCTATATTGATGCTTCTGGGGCAAGGTAAACAAAAAAATAAAAGTACCATCTTTGCAAAAGTACACTTCCAATACTTTGCAAGTCTATCTAGTTATGCTTATACCATTGGGGTGCTGTGGGTGTTCATGGTCGTTGGCAAGTAGATCACACGAAGGCAAGTAAGTGTTTAATGGGGAATTCTTTAAACAAGACAGAAAAAAGAGACAGCAATATCAGTGTGCATATGTGTAAATAGTGTTAAAGATATTTAGATCTCTATTTAGTTTTGCAGTTTTCCGCTTCATGACTCATTTATTTTTCATACTGGAAAAAAGAAGAATGGGATTACATCATGACTCTAAAGATCTCTTTCTCATTTCTGACACATGCACATGTAAAAATATATATATATATAATTAAATGTATCAAACTAAATGCATAATTGTACAAACAGTGATTTGTGCAAATGTGTACAGATTTTGATAATTTTTTGATAAGACATCTCACATATTCAAAACAAACAGAATACATTTCAATCATGAAAACAGAATGAATATTTTAGTTACATGTGAGCTGATTTAGAAAAGCTGTAGTTCTCTAAACCGGTGACATGTTACTGGTGAAGAGTTTCTGACAAAATGGGATTTGTGTGTTCCTTTGGGATATGCCACACAAGATATAACGTTAGCAAATGTTATTTCTGATGCTAGCTAAATGTTGTTTTTTTTATTTAATAAAAATAACCACTTAATTGATCTTAATCAAATCTCTACACCCATCTCAAAAAACACAGTATAGCAGCATGACTGTAAAGACTGACTTTACTAAACTGCAAAAACTGATAGAAAAACAGGTAAAAATTTCCTGAAAAATTTTTTTTTTCCCTTAATTCAAGTAGGTAGATAAGATAATCTGCCAATGGAATGAGTATTTTTGGCTTTAAAGTAAGAAAACTAGGTATTATTCACTTGAAATAAGATATTAGCGTTGTTTTTTGTTTTTACTTATTTTAGGTGTAAATTATCTGATTCCAGTGGCAAATTTTATTCCTTACCTGCTCAAATCAAGGGAAAATAAGTTATTTCAAGAGTAATTAACCTACTCATATTTGAATTTTTGCAGTGTACATTATACAACACATGGCCTTTTAATTTCCTACACACCAAAAATATGCGCTTTTTTTCCCCAACCACAAACGACATTAAAAGGAGGTGCTATTAAAAAAGTATAGTTTTCCCACATTAGAAACACAGCCGCAGGGGCATCATGATATGGGACACGCTCACTACCTCCAAGCATAAATCACTATAGTCTCAAAGTTAAATATTTAATTAGAATTTCTGAAACACTTTGAACGCAGGCCTCTTTCTCAGTGCAGATATAAGGACACTGCGGTGAGTATAATGCAGTACTGAAGTAAAAAATGGTGTGTTTCTGGTCAAAGGAAAAAAAAAATAAAAATCAATACGTGCATGCATTCAAGATAAACTCATCTTCAGGGAACTACATTACAAATCACAGAGTCGGGGGTGTTCAATGTAATGTTTTATTTGTGGCTGTATACAGATGTGTGCTTTTAGAAAAGTGGTGCACTTGTCGACTTGTGAATCTTTTTTTGTTTCTTTTTTTTAATGCTGTGCTGCCATGGCCTAAAACTCACACAGGGTTACTTTACATCATAAGGCATATAGGCCATCTAGAAAATGCATGAGAAATCTTCCTTCACAAAAGATACCTGATAGTTTGTCCAACTTTTTTCACGCTGTGGTTCATAGAAAATGAAAGAATACTAATCAGGGGTATACAACATAACATTTCAGAAGTTATGACTCTAGTCCCACATGACTATTTTTGCGTGTAGCTACTGTGACGTCTGCTGGAGATGCTTCTTTGGATTCTCATGGTTTTAATGCAACTAAGGTTAAAACATTGGACACAATAACCACATCTCACACAACAAAAGCAAAATTAAAAAGGCACTAATTGCGTATGCACAGAGGTGACCAAACTGTTTGCAATGCTACAGGTGAAGCAGACGGATGCAGTGACTTGCAGAAGTATTTCACAATAATTGAACTTTTTAATTTTTATCACATCACAACCACAGATTTCAATATATTTTTTCTAGAGTTTTACAGAGTAATGCATAACTGTCTGTTTTGAAACACTTGCATTCCTCCCCTTTATAAGATAAAAAAATAAAAGTGACTACATTGTATCAACAAGTAATCCAAATAATTAATATATCACTGTGAAATTGAATCTCTCTACTCATCTAGCTACTCTGTGAAGACCTCAGAGGTTTCATAGAGATCCCAAGTGAAGGAACAGTATGAAAACCAGGGAAAGGAGCACACGGGTCAGGGACAGCTTTTCAGAAGGTTCAATTTTTCATGTGAAATTTGAAAAAGAATGACACAATGACAAACGAACCAAAACAACTGTCAGGGCAGCAGGAGAGCGTAAATAATAGAGACTTTAATTCAACAAATCTGTGTCACGACGAATCATGTTGGAGTCACCGAACATTGAAAAAGGGGCTCTGGATAGGTGTGCAAATTTGATACTTTAAATGAAACCAATTATCTCAACTGTGAAACAAGATCTCGGCAATATCATGCTGTGAGGTGATTGTTCAGCTTCAAGCAATAAACTAACAACCAAAGCTACAAGAATGGTTTAAAGAACATTCATTCATGTCCAGACCTAAATCAAATGAAAAAAATCTTTGGCAAAATTAAGATTTTTTTTTTCCATTGCAAAAAGTCCCAATTAAAAGCATTCACATCTCTGGTTGCAATGGTAAGAAATTTGAAAAAGTACAGGCTATATATATATATATATATATATATATATATATGCAAATCTAGATGATTGTCTCTTTGTCATCACACTTTCTTTTATTATTTCTGAGAGGATGACACTTGGCTTTCTTCTTCAGTAACTGGCACAGAAGTGAAATTAAGACAGGAAATCTGAAGCGTTTCCTTTTTTACCCGACTAACGGCGAAATGTATATGATTCTTGTACAGACGAGGCAGCAGCAGCAGTAAAGAAATAAAACATTAAACAGTGGCTTATCTGCAGGATTTGCTTTTATATCGTTTCTCTTATTTACTTTCGGTAAAAGATGTCTCACAGTACACAGACTAGAAGAGAGAAACATGTGCTTTAGGGAAAATAGACAAAACATACAGTAAAGGAAAAAAAAAAAAGGAGCAAACTGTGAGAGTGATTTCATGTGAAATACCATCAGACCATTTCAGGAAGTAAAGAAGCACAAGGAGCCCATCTACTACAACTTACAACAAACATTTTGGGAGCTTAATTTTCTTAAACATACAATCATGATCATTCATCCTTATGAAAAAATCATCATTAAAAAATAATGAAATACCAAAAAATAAAATAAAAATAAATTTAGGCACCACAAAACAATCAACTAGTTATTGTTGCACTTCACTTACAGATCTCTCTATTAAAGTGGCACAATATTGATACAGTAGAGGGCTCCTTCGTCAGGGAAGAAGCTGGGAAATGTCCCAACATTTCAACAGCAAATGTTAGGACTAAACTCAGATTCATCTAACGAAATAATAGTTTTGTGTTCCTTTGTTTTAAGCGCTGAAGGTAAATGGAGTATCACAGAATTTGACTGTAGATGATCTGTGTTTTGACACAGAAGAGTCTAAATAGGGACAACCCCATTATCTACAATATCTATTAACTTCCTTATATTCCAGCTCAAAGGCATAAAAACAACCTGGACTTTCTTTGATTTCTATACTCTCTCTTTACCGTAGACACGTTTTTAGCTGAAACAAAATAAAGACTTTATTTACAGATTTGCTCCTTCACGTTTTTGATCTCAGGGAAGTGAGCGTTGCACGCTCCACTTAAAACAAACAAAAAAAACAACATGGTGCGACTTAACAGTACTTTACAGAAGTATGCATACCCCTTGAATTTTTTCCCATTTTGTTGTATTACATCAGAAATCTCAACGTACTAAAAATGAAATGTTGGGTTTTATGTGATAGACCAACAGAAAAAGTTCAAACTAGAGAATAAATTCAGTGTCAGTCCTCTTTATTCTGTTGCTTAAATAAAATCTTGTCACCTAAGTAGCAAAAAGTCCAGCTGTGTGTATTTCATTCTTCTTACAATATAAGCTGTTCTCTAAAGATTTAAGATTTTTGTTAGAGAACATTTATTAACAAATACATTGGAAACACCAAGAAACACAGCAGACACACCAGTGAGGATATTATAGTGAATTTAAATCTGGGTTAGGGTATAAAATAGTAAAGCACTACCACAAACTGACCAAAGCATGTCTTTCCACTTAAACCAGCAGCAGGCAAGGAGAGCAGCATTGTAGAGATTTGCAGCTCAGGTTGGAGAAGCTATCATCAGGGTAACTATTAGTTTTGCCCTCTGCAAATCTGGACTTGTGAGAAGACATACAAAACAAAATCCCTAATTGAAACAAGGCCGTAAGTAGTCCTGTTTAAAATGTTCTAACATTTTAATGTGATACTGACCCCCAAATATGCAGCCAGTGTTTCCATAAAAGTCATCTTTTTAAACAGAGGCCGTTTCATATTAAAGCGACCAAGATGTACAGAACCATATTATAAAATACAAATATCAGGGCACTGCTAGATTATAATTGACTGTTACAGATGCTCCCTAATCAATCCGAGTAAGCTTAAGACCTTTAGCAAAAAAGAAAAAGCTATAAATATTTGTTGAGATAAAAAAAGAAGAGAGAAAAGGAGACCTGCCCCAAAAACGTGAAGCAGTTATTTAAAGAAAATGTTTTTCTACAAGCAATCGATTTGGGAGAGCCAACTACACACTCAACACTTATAAATTGTAAAAACTAATTTAAGACCATGAATCATTTTCCCCTATGCTTCATCCCAACTGATGTAGAGGTACTATATGTTGGCCAATCACATAAAATCCAAATAGAAATATTGAATTCTGGGGTTGGAAGATAAAAAAAAATTCAAGATGCATGAACACCTTTGTAGTTTAAAGTGCCTGCCTGCTTACTGATGGTGTTACAACTTCAGAAACACATCTAACTCAGATCTATATTCCCTTATGTGTCTAGTTTTTGTGCTTTTTACTGCAGATCTTTTTCTCTAACATTTCCCGGAAGCAATCAAGCTGTAAAAACGGGTAAATACAAGTGGTAAAAATAAAACAAGAAAACTGTGCAAGAGCTGTGCTTTAAATGTTCATCAAATTGCTACACAAGCTAAAATCGAAGCAGCCTGCTTTGCAGCAAATCCCCTTATTGGTAAATCTCTGGGCATAAATGAATACTGTATTTAGGCCCCCGTGTCAAAGCAGAATACATAATATTAACACTGCTTTGTGTAATTCCCTCAATTTTCCTGTGATTTCCCCACAAAGCCTATAATACGGCATTGGCACTTACATAAAAACTCAAAATGATTTTCCCTTAGCGAGTGATATGGCACAAAGGTAATGATTTATAAAAAAATAAAAAATAAAACAATACTTGCATTTAAAATCAAAGCATGACGTAAGAAACTACAGCATGTTCTATAGTTTATTTAGGTTGTTCTTGTTCATTCTTTCTATTTGTTCGTTCACTTTTCTAGTCCTGAAGGCACTTAATAAAAAATATTAAGAAAAGACATAAACAACACCTTAAAAATTGTCCCTTTTTCCCCCTTTCTTAACCCTTTTCATTGTGATAAACAGCTGTGCTCAACACAGGTCTTAAATCCACCCTTGCTCTCAGGCAACACTCCCATAAACGATCTTCAGCAGCTCCTTTTCTAGTTGCCAAAGCCGTGATGAGTATTGAAATGTTCCGCCGCTTCTTCCATGCCAAGGATGGATAATAAGAGATATCCTTGCCAACACTTGTAGTCCTGAAGATGCAGCAGCGGGGTGGAGAAGGGAAAAAGAAAACAGGAAAAGAGTAGGATCTAGGATCAGAGACGAGCATAAAACTCCTCGTTGAGTTTTGTAAGCTCATTAGCCTCTTCCTCCTCTTCATCCCCCCGAAATGCGAGAGGAGCTGGTTCCGTCTCAGAGGAAGCCTGTGTAGCTGGGCCTAGCTCAGAGCAAGGAAGGGTGTTAATGTCTTTGTCTGGAGACTCCTCAGGGGTATGTGCTGAGTCCCTGTACCCTTCGTCCGTCTCTTCTGTGCTATTGGTTGGTTTGGGCTTAGGGTTTGCTCTTGGAGCCCTCACAGTGCTTTGGGTTTGAGGGGGCTGATTGGGAGGAGAGGAGGAAGCAGGTACAGCAGTGGCTAAAGTCTTATCGGATAATAATATAGTGGGTCCAACTCCAGCTGCCTGCTCTGTTCGGTCCTGGCAAAAGCTCTCCCCACTTCTAGGGTAGAGAAAGGTTCTCATTTGACCTTTGCCCTTAACATTGACTGTCCCCCTATAGTCAAACTCCAAACCCATGGCGCTGAGGACAGCATGGCTCTCCTCACTCACCTGCACCCGACACTCCACGCCGGTAGAGTCCATGCGGCTTGCTATGTTAACAGTGTCCCCCCAGATGTCATATAGCAGTTTAGTCGTGCCGATCACCCCCGCCGTCAGGGGACCGTGGTTGAACCCAATCCGCAGCTTGAAACCAAAGCCTAGCATGTTCTTGTTGAAATCATCCAGTACGCCCATCATATCAAGCGCGAAGTTGAAAAGCGCCCTCAGATGGGCGTGAGGGGACTCATCTTCATCGTCCGCCATCTGCTGGACATTGAGCCCAGACGCAGCCATGTAGGTGGAGCCGATCGTCTTGATTTTTTCCACGCTCCTGAACTCAGGCTTCCGAAGGAGCTCGTCAAAATCTCCAATCAGTTCATTCAGAACGCGATAGCACTCCTTTCCTCCCTCGTAGCTCTCTTCGTAGAACTCGCTGAAGTTAACGATACTGGCAAATATAACCCCCACACTGTCGTGGTTCTTGGAATAGCTCTGGGTCTCCTGAGGAGAAAGGGGAGAAAAAATATTACAATGACACCAACTGACACTGTTTTAGCACCTCTCATCAACTATACTCAACATTTGCAAGAATAATTAAAGCTACAAGCATTCAAATAAAGAAAACAGAATAATTTAATGTTTTAACATAAAACCAAAAACTTAAATTGTAATTTTATGTGACATATCAACAAAGAGGAGGATATTATTGAATTGGAAGTAAAATAATCACGGTTTCTTTTTTCTTCTCTTTTAATAAAATTTACCAAAATATTTTTTTGTCCATCCCTTTTAAACCCAAACCCCTAAACAAAATGCAATTTAACTAAACAAATGCCTTCAGAATGTCTCTAATTATTGAATTAAGTCAATCTCCTTATGTTTTAACTTTCAAGGTTTTCTTAAGGTAGGTTCCTTGCTGAAAGCAAAACCGTTGAAAGATTCCCATGCTTTTGCTTGCTTTGAAATTCGCCTGGCTAGCGAAAGCAATTCACACGGCAGGGTAAAATAGGCTAGCTGCAGAGGATTGCAGGAACAAGGCAGTAGGATTGGGTAAGTCTGCTTGGCAGATAGCACCGCTGAAGATGGCTGAAAGGCTGCCGCGGGCTAGGAGACGGACTGCTGTACATCGGAGAGGTCCGCCAGGGAGACGGAAGGGAGAGGCTATGGCTGGCTGATGCTAGCTTCTAGAGGCTAACTGCAGGAGATGGAAGGAGGACAGTAGATGAAGGAATCCTGCAGGGCAACAGAGCGGTGGAGTGGCTAGAGAAGGGAGCAGATGGCTGGTGTTTGCACTGGAGGTAGGACCGCAAAACAATCCTTGCAGCATTTTTAAAAACTACCCATATACCTCTTAGGAACATTCCCCACTTTCTATTTTGATATAAAAAGCTTGTCCCTTGTCAAAAGTTCAGATATTTCAACTCCTGCGAACTAAGTGAAGCGAAATCCGCAGGCGTGGTGAAGATCGAATTTCACAGAATTCACCAAAATCGCACCATTCACCTCGCTCAGCTGTGCTTCACTTCAGATCCCTCTACGTTGAGATAACATGGAAATCCTTTGCTCAAGCTGCAAAATTCTTGTTTTGTTTTGAGTGTACCTTAAGGGAACACAAATGATGTTTCTATTGAAAGGTGAGGCGAAGAAAATATGAGGGTTCTATTTAAGCTTAGGTGGAAGAATCTTTGACATTAACAATTTCTCTTTATGCATTCACAGGAAAGCAGTTGTAAAAAACAAAGTCATAAGAAGATTTGTTCAGTGTTTACCATAAACCATGTAAGTTAGGCTGCAGAAAAAATAAAAAAAATAAAATAACTGCGGTCAGACATGATTTTAAGGTTACCAGATGTTTATGCCAACAGTCTGTTTCAGGAAGAAAAGACTGATCAAACGCTAAACAGCTGCTAAAGGAATCAGTCTACAGAATTTTTGTACATTCCCAAATGAGTGCTGAAACTCTTGCTAGGATGATAGTTTGAAGGAACAAACATACCGGTAGGTGTCAGTAAAAGAAAACTGTCAGAATTTGGAGCTGGCAGCTTAAAGCTGGGGAGGTTTTCCTTTAGCAAGGAGAGGGACGAGATAAATACAAGGGTCTCCATCTCCAGTCTTCCAGAACTACCACTATGCAGTGTTCAAATTAATTGCAATCTTGCAAACAATCTCATGATTTCCCACTTATGAACAAATAAAGGCAACAAACTGTGTTTTAATATGTTTTGCACTGTATAATAAATAAAACTTTTAAACAGAAAGGGAGACCTTTAGCTGGTCAGCAACATGGATAGGGATGATGTTGCCCAGTAACCACTCAGCCTGGTCTCGCATCATTTGGATTTTGGAGCGGTGCTTGTCAGCCTCAACGTTGCCGTGGTAATGAAGGCGATAGCTGACTTCAGACTCTCGATTGAGGAACCACACGAGGAGCAGAAGCAAGAAAAAGGCTAGGATTGCCTCTGTGACCAGAACATTAAAGAGTCTCCGAGAAGAGTCCTGGACCGACTCTGAGACACCATCACCGGCCTTGGAGTAGTTCAGCCTTGGGGAGAGAACAGGATCATAATGAGACAAGCAAAGGAGACAATTAAGGCATTTATGGTAAGCATAGTAAGACCTAAAAAAAGTTTTTACCTTTTAGATTCATAAAATAAAGTACAACATCTATCCTTAATAACAAAAAGCTGTTAATTATACCTGTTCATTAAAAATAACAATTGAGAAAATAAAATATAAAAAGCCACATGAAACACATGAGTGTTGGTAAATTAAATCAAACATTTGTTTCTTCATCTTTAAAGGAACCAGGAAGTGATATATCAATCTAGATATATCTATATATATCTATATCTATATATCTATATCTATATATCTATATATCTATATCTCTATATATCTATATCTATATATCTATATATCTATATATCTATATCTATATATCTATATATCTATATATCTATATATATATCTATATATATCTATAT